GGCTGTTAGAATTTTCAAATTTAAACCTCTAATTGTAATGGTCACTCCTGAGTGTATATTTTGATTTTTCAGATTAAATCATTTGGGTTTGAAATCTTAACAAATTTATTTGTCTGTCAAACTTGGAATCACACCGATTAGCTGCATCTCGAAGTTATTCTGTACATTTTCCCAAACTGTGATATCTTACTCCGATTCTGTTTAAGTGTGTTCTTCATCAAGTTATTTGGCTAGGAAAATGGAGGAGATAAATTATGGAATTTAAACATGATGTTCACTGACAAGTTATGTGCTTACATTATAAATTTCATAAATTTTCACAGTCATTTGATTTATCTTTAAGTTTATGGAAAATCATTGCGCAAACTAGGAAGCTTGAAGGAATATCAGACTAGCAGCCGAGTTGATGGAGTATTCCGGTTTTTGGTTGCAGCCACTGAAGCCCAGTTCTCAGAGTCCAGTTTTAGGGAATAAAGGGATAAAACGTGTTTCTTCTTTTACGTTTCTTCTCCCACGTTTTTCTTCACTTTTCTGTTATTTTTGTTTGAGTCTTGCTGTCCTCTTTCGATTGGTTTGGACTGTGTTCTCGCCATCTATATATGATGGAGATCACTCACATTTCATCGGTAATTTTTGATGGTTAAATAATTAAATATTAGTTTTTACTTCTCACTTTGTTCATGGTATTAGAGCAATGGTTCAAAGCTCTAAGGATTAAAGTTTCCTTTTACTAATATTGAAATGGCAACACACCAGGATCTGCCTCCAATCGATTCTAAAGATGATGAAGCTACAGAAAAGCAAGTAGCAGAGAAGACATATTTTAATGGAGATCCATTAGATTTGCAGAGCTCAGACCATCTAGGAATGCAGCTAGTCACCTCTCACTTAACAGGCCAAAACTATCTCAGTTGGAGTAAATCTGTTAAGATAGCCTTAGGAGCAAAATTGAAATTGGGTTTTATTGATGGAAGTTGTGGAAAACCAATTGAAAATTCAGCTAGATTTGAACAATGGGTACGAGTTGACTATATGGTTAGATCATGGTTGTTAAATTCGATTTCGAAGGAAATCGTGGAAGCTTTCATATACACTATGACGGCTAAGGATCTGTGGGAAGAGTTAAGGGAGATATACGGGGAATGCAATGGACCCCTA